CGCGATAGCAGGTTTAAATAGAGGATGGCCATTTTATTTTTCCGGTATAAATCCCCGTGTAATGACTGAATTTAACCGGGGTAAGCTTTAACTTTCACACGCCCTGTTCATCTCAGTTTCATCCGAAGGATCTGTTTCAATTGTTGGTAAATTCTTTGTTCAATACGAGCTGTTGAATAAATGCGATTTTATAACAGTATTTTTAGATTAGTAATTTTGACATAGTTTCGGAGAAACCTGATAAATCGACTAAATTACGCGAGTAATGATCAGTACAGTTTGAATTTGTTTACTGCTCATGATTTGCTTCGAAGTAAAATGAACTTGTTTAGCTGCGAAAAAAACGGGATACGTTCGTTATCGATATTCAGTATCTTCTGATAATCATACTTGTACAGTGAATATTCGATTAACGTTTGAACGTTATCGGCTTTGTATATATTGCCTCCCTTATTTTCGGTTCTTTGTTCAAGAAAATTCTATTAACATATCGACGAGATTTTTCTGTGTAAAATGATACCAAACACAATATAATTCGGATCGTATTCACCGATTTCACGTTAAATCATTCTCTTCCATTATCGCCACTGATAAATCACAAAAGATCGAAATTATTTCGTGTTTAATATCAATTTATTAAATTAATTTAAAATTTTCTGTAACAAAGAACGCTAGTATGTTACGTTCCATCCTTGACTCTTTACAAAGAAGAACATCCCCCAGCAGTGGGGATTCACCAAAAGCATTTAACGTAGAGATACGTATCTTTTCGAGCAGTTATCCACAATTTACGTGTATCGTTGAATAAGAATCACGTCAAATCGTTTGTATTCACCTTTAGCTCACGCCCACACGGTTGTTCATGCTGCCGAACGGCAATATTTATAGAGTTAATCGTCCAGTCGTATCGGTTCGGGCTACCGTTCGAGGCACAGAAAGACAGGCAACCGACAGCGAGCATTCCAGCCGTTATTAGACCCTGATTCTTCCTATACATCAGTCAGATTGATCCCTTTCCGTAACGGAATTACCTTTGTACGAGGAAAAGCATCGAAAAGTTATCCGTTACCCTTGCCAAACAATGCGGTCGGGTTTTGAGACACTTCCATATCGCGAGATGGGGGGGGGGGAGTTGGAATACCGTGCTTCCCGATTTCTGCGCAATTTACCGCGGTTCGTGACCAGTGGAAAAAGGGGGCGAATGCATTATTAACGTCACCCACCCCTATTTCCCCCGGTTCGTGTGTGTTGGTGTGCTGGGTTCTGAAAATATTCCACGGATATCGATCCTGCCGCCCGTTGGAAGATTCATTCACTTTACTGACAGTATCCTTCGACCGTAATGCGTCACACGTGGGAGGCACCGACGACGACGAAGTTCGCGATTCTTCGATCCGCGTGATGCCGTCGTACGGGACGGAAAACGTGTTCGACGAACGAATTTTCCCATTCCCTTTCCACGTAATTTTCGACTACCTACGTTGAGTTGGACGTGTCGGGGCAAATCGCCGTTTCAACGGGATCGAATTTCATACAGCCGGGGATTGCTTATTAAAACCGAGTATACCGATACACACGACCCAGGATGAAGGAAACGAATGGGGGAGGTCAGAGATTCGAGGATAAGGGTCGATCGAGAAGGAAGACGGCAGTTTTCCGTCGAGGAGCCAATCTAGATTGAATGTAGACATGGCGTTGTCTGAAGGGCAAGGGGAAAAAACATATTGATGAATCATTTGCCAAGGAATCGGGGAGAGGGACGATTATTTCTGGGCTATTCGACCTATCCGGAGGGTGTTTCGAGTTGAAAACGATTAAATGATACCTTTGTGCAGAACTTTTTTTCTTTGCCTACTGGAATCATTTTCCAAATTATTTGGGTAACAACGGGTCTTTGTACTAGAGCAAAGTGAATAAATGATAAAAGAGCGTGGACTATAATGAAAAAGGAGGGGGAAAATGTTCGTAAACACTACGGAAGGGCAGAATGAGTACTGTGTGTGGTATTCAGCTTTAAATCGATTCAAGTGCACGTGCTTAACACGGATACTCTGGTTGCACAATCGATGCAAGGTTGCTGAGGATTCCCGGTGCTACCCTCCGGCATGTGCCCTATCTGCAAAGTTGTCATTTCGAGCGTTGCGCCTCGCTGTGACGCAACAGAGGGAGCTCAGAGACTCTGCAAGGATGGCTGGGGGATTCACGATAGAGATGTTCTTCGAGGAATAAGGGCATGGTTACGTAAAATCTTCGGAAATTCGAAAAATCAATAGACTAGGAAACAATTACCGGTGTGTAGTACGGGGTAGCTGGATACTGACAATAATAAATAATAAAACTAAATAAATAAATCGTTTAATACAATAATATATATTTTCGACAATTTTTTTATAACATCTGCATGGCAGAAGTTCAGGGTTGGTTCGAATTACGGTTGCCGTCTTCCCAAGGACTTGGAGGAGAAATTTCTCTTTTTCGGGAAAGTTCCGGGAAAAAAAGAGACATGTTTTTTCGAGTAACTGTAGGAAGACGGTGGAAACGAACAGATCAACCGTCGAGCTGTTCACAGCGTCTGATACACCATTGTTGTCTTATTGTTTGAGTGTTTTTTTTTTCTATCAGTTGCCTCGTTTTGTTATATTTCGTTATTGTTTCGTTTCTTGTTGTTTGATTAAATTTTATTCTTGTTAGTTTTGGTGTTACAGTTTCTTCGAGGACACACCCATAACTATCCTAAAGTGCCTTTGTGAATTTTTTCTAGGAGTACAACAAGGTAACCTGGAAATCAGTTGCAAAACCTGTAATATACAGGGTGTCCCGTTTAAATCGACCCACTCGAATATCTCTGAAACTATTGACGATATTAACAAAATTTTTCAGACAAAGGTATTAAACAGTATCAGGGGGCACAGTTCCTGGCTTTGCAACTGATTTCCAGTTCACTTTGTTGTACTCCCAGAAAGAATTTACAAAGGTACAGATGATTTTCAACTGGTCAGGGTGGGTTTACCCCTTAAGCTGGTTTATGCATGATACTACGATCCTTCTATTATACTCCCTATTTCGACGTAACGTGCGAAACTACGGACCCCCTCCGCAGAGGTGTCCATTGATCAGAAACTTGGCTGAGAGCCGTGGAATAGAAGAAATTCGACGATAGTTCGGTAAATAGCATTCTGAAAGATCTATACCTAGTGTGTACAATTGCAATTTGTATAGAAAAGCGATCGATCATATCGATTCTCGTCCCGTTCTTTAGAATGATTCAACCACTTTGAATGTGTTGCATGAACTTGCAGGAATTCCACGAGGATCACTGTAAGAAGAGATATTATCCATTGATCAGTAGCCAGCCTGGGGGCTGAGCCAAAAGTATAAGTGGTTCCATGGTGGCTGGGGTAGAACAGATGGCTTTTATACTTCGAGATTTGCCAACATATAATTACTCCTCAATTGCTCTACGTGAAATATTACAATGTCTTTCTGAATCGTTTTCTTTTGTAATGTCTTCTTTTATCGAGGTATTCCGTAAAGCAGGTCTATCCGGTATAAGATAAATTGGAAAAAGTTTTTTTCACTTTTACTTTAAATTACATACACACACACATTGTTGCATAAGGAAAAGGTTTCTCGATAAATGGTCCTTTATTGCAATCGCGTTTCGGATGACTCAAAGTCTACAGTGTCGAAAGAAAACATAGTCTATTGATCAGCAAGTTGGCTACGAGCCCAAGCCAAAATACAAGAAGCTTAGCGGTAATTGTCTTTTGAACAGATGATTGTTTAACGCGGAATTGGAGTCCAACTGTACGTGGATGTTTTCAGGCAACAAACAATTCCAGGGCTCTCGTCTAAAGAGGACTATTGTAATATTAAAATATCACACTTCACTGTTTAAATTGCTCCTTTTTTTAGAAATTTATTTTTCTTGGAAAATATTTTTCATTTAATTTTAACTCTTTAACGCCCAAATATATTTTTCGGGGAAAACATTTTTCGCGATTAGTTAACTAAAAAATGGTCCCAATACGTGCACCTAACCTGTATTTTCGCGACGAAATCCCTGGAAATATGATTTTGTGGGTGTGACGTGTTAAAACAAGACTAACAACCTCTATTAATTAAGCGCATATCATTTTGTTACGATTTATGACTTTAGAAAACGAAATAAAGTGTGTCTGGTCCTATACGACACATTTCACTGTGGCAGTCAATGTGTTAACGTGCGTTTTCTTATTTTCCTATTTTCCTATATATCTTGAAAACTATAGCAGACATACAAAAATCTGTAACTTCGGTATTCCCAAAATTTGTCTTCTAATTAAGCCAAATCTTAACCTTTTAAAAGGTTAAAAATCACAGTTCTAGACCCAATCCTACTTATACTTAACATTACATCCAACGAAGAGTAATATTCTCGCCCGAACTGCCGGAACTTCGTGAAGATGTTTCCGAAGGAAGAAGCGACACGCATGCACACACTGTCCCATTGATCAGCGGGGCTACGAGGCAGAGCGGCCAAAATGTATAAGAGGGCTTCGGTAGGGGGATGGTTTGGGGTTGGACAGATGGTATTTTACGCCTCCCGCGTAGGGTTCCACACGTGCCTTAGCGACCGGCAGCCGGGTCCACGATATAGGCATGTTAAGCCGCCGCCGGCGCTGCTCGAGGAGGTGGAGGTTGGAGGTTAGCAGGAGGTGGAAGGGGTGACTTGTCGTCGGGTAGGCTGGCTCCCAGTGGCTGGGCGTAAGGGGGAGTGGGAGGGGAGGGGGCGGGGGGCGGGCGGAAGAGACTGAGGGAGGTGGGGGATGGGTCTGCCGCGGCTGAGGGTGCGAGAGGGCCGCGGTGGGTGGATATTGAGCGACGCCGGGCGTCGCGGCGCACTGTGCGAATCAGTCGCCCTCCAGCCACCGCCCCAGATACGAGTTAGTTTCCAAGCCACTTCCGGCCCTCCTCGTTGCTCAGTCGGACGTGTGGTGTTCCTCATTTTGCTCGTCGGATTGTCCGCATTTTTTCGGTTCCACTCCCCCCTGTTAGTAGTCCTTGGTGCTTTTTGGAGGGCGTTTTTTTAAAAAAAAAAAAAAAAGTTCTACACCTTTCACGGATAATTCCGCCGGGGAAGGTCATAGTTCGACGACGCAACCACGCAAGAAACAACATGCTGATCGGTCTCGTGCGCGACTCAGTGCTGCAGTGCTTCTGTCACAGCTGCAAGGCACCCTTGGGCCTCGTAGGTGAGTCCTCTCCAGAGTTCGCGTTCAACGGTGTGCCTTCTTCTTGCCATGATCCAACTTGAGCCCTGGGATACATGCAACCGTTTGCTCTCTGCTTTTTCCGATGGTCTCCAGGACGATTCGTATAGAGCCCCGAGTACAGAGAGGGTATTCCTTTTGGAGGTGGGAGGGAGGGCGGGTGGTCCGAAGAGGGAGGAGTCGATGTCGCGGTGAATGACTCCTGGGGGCCGATCGAGGTGATCCGCGGTGAACCTCCCGGCTAGATCGCTTTTAATCCAATTTTGTACGGTATCGACATTTTATACCCCCCTATGTTGGAATATTCCTTTTACTACCTTCTGTGTGATACCTTATAGGTACACCCTTTCGACACTTATTTAGAATCATCCTGTTTCGCATTTTAAAGGTCCACTCTACTGTGTTATATTCTACACTTTATTCATATTCGTGCATACTCGAATTTCGATCATCTCGAACGTGGTACCAACATGTCCGCTAAAGTACCTTAAGGAATCACGATGAACCGGCATAACGTGTTCAGATACTTCCGCCTCCCTTCGTGAATCTATGTATACGCCTCCCGAACTTGACGGCACAACCGTATTTTTACCGCAGTCGGGTGGTCGATACTACGGCCTGGTGGAATAGTATTATCCTAGACACCTGCAGTTCGATCAATTTCTCCGCTTGCTGGTCCGCCAATCCCGGTACTCAATGGTGCACTTTGTGGTGTCCACCGGTCACCACCGCGGCATGCTTGTGCCGGGTATTTGCCGACGAGCCGGTGAACCGTGTCTAAGAAAATACAAATTTCGTTATTTTCCATCGAATTCGTATTACAATATTTGATAAGAATTTAGATGGGAAGGCGTATCGAGGGAAAAGAACCACCCCCCAGGTGTGTTCGGTCTGCACATTTTTGGGAACGGAATCGTCTTAGGGGACCTCTACGACGCGAAAGGGGATCGTAAGGGTATATAGTAACTGGGGGGGTGTTAACGCACGTGATCCACGTGAAAAAGTCACCGGCAAAACGATTGGGGTGCGGCCCAAGATGGCCACCCCCGGTGTGTTCCCTTGTTGCCCCGATAGCGCGAGTAGACGGTTGCATCGATTTCTCGATAATTAAAGGCATGATCCCTGTTTCCACGATCCCTCTGGGTCGTGTCCCCATGGGCGTGATACGGCGGCACACTCTCACCATTGATTCTCAATTTTCGAAGCGGGGGATAGGAGGGGCAACGCGCCCTTCAAGAAGCCCAGCGGCAAAGGAAAGCCGCGGACCAAGCAGCCGAAGAAAGTGAAGTTCATCAGTGAGTACACACGCCAGCAGTACACCGTAGTATCCGTTCTTTTTTTTTTTTTAATTAATGAGTCTCTCATCGTCGCTTTAGCAGTCTCATTACCGCGTCCGTTATCGGGTCTGGGCTTAATCGGCCTTGAAATTAAACCCTCTCGTCGCGAGCGAGCGATTTTTCCTCGTCCAAGTATTTTTAAAGTTGATGAACCGAGGTGCCGAGGGGATATATCGCTTATTTGTTGCAACAATGACGTAATTAAAAATTTGCAGTTTTTTTAGTTATAAATATAGAACAAACGGTTTTTGTACTTTTTATCGGTTGAATCCTGTGAGCTTTCGACACAGTCATTTTAACCCGTTCGATGTTTATGTGGATTATACTCATGAAAAGATTTTCAATTTTTTCAACATATCCACGCTAAATTTTTCCAACGAATCCACGCGGAATTTTTCCACGAATCCACGCTCAAATTTTCCACGAATCCACGCACACCTCCCGATCGAAGGGTGCAACGAACGCCACCGATACGAACGATCGCTGATACGCGTCGCCCAGGTTGAATTATAAATCGGCAGAACAGGCGAAACACGTCCGCGAAGAAACGCTTCTCCAGCGTGTTCTGTGTTACGTGTGTGAGGGGGGAAGGCAGCCGCCTGCAAAAGGTGCGTGTGGTGCCGACGACGCTAGACGTCGCGGCGCCTAGAGACACAATCGTTTCTCTCCCCGTGGTGGCCTGTGATCGATCCTTCCTTCTCCGCGTCTCTGAGTCATACTTCCGTAACCGACTCGTCCGGTGCACCTCCACCTAGAGCAAAACGAAGATGGATTGGATCGAGAAATCTTCCCGGGCAAAGTGGATTGTCCCCGACCGAGAGATATGCGTTTCAATCATCTCCCTAATTGCGTCGGTGATTTAACCGGGAGGGTGGTAACACGGATTTCAGGCGTTTCGGTACATTACGAACGGCGATGGATTACATTCTGTACATTTGCGTGTCCTATTGAATTAGAAGAAATTGATCATATATTTGTTTTACACTACTGGATAGTAATTCCTGTGTTATAATTAGACTGTGGATGTTTATGCAAATATTAAAATTCGTCGACCAATTTTTCATAACTGGTCGCAGAGAAACCAAAATCGTTTACCCTATTAAAAGGGTTTTATCACTTTCGAAATAGTGATGAGCGAAACAGCATCGACATTTCGAATATGCAAATGCAACGATTGTATCGAAATGTCGATATTTATGGGTTAAGTATCGATACTGGACTATATCGTCACATTATATATCGATACAAAATATCGACATTTGAATAATAAAATAAAATTTATTTATCGATCCTTTTCAATTCAGGTATCGATATTTAATATGATGATATATTCCAGTATCGATACTTAACCCATAAGTATCGAAATTTCGATACAATCGTTACGTTTGCCGTAACGTAAAAGGTCGGAAGGAAAAGGGACCAATCTGAGCTTCCAGTAAAGTTTGCTACTGGTCGATTTCTTTTCCAAACTGTTACCAGAGGATCTGCCTTAGTGAATATCTGCTTAAGTAAATGATTTATCCTCATTTCTGAATTTTATTACTTCCAATTTGATTGCAAGTATCGATATCGATAATGTCGATATTTTATTCCCGATATACATGTGTATCGATACTCTGGGTATCAATTAGTGATGTGTAATTGAGCCGCTTGAGTACGCTAGTGCCGGAGGAGAGAGCTGAACTGCTCGAGCCGACTCGAGTAGAAACTGTTCTATAGAGCTGAAAGGAATCCAGTGAATCCACCTAACTCTACGATCACTGGATCCACGGCAGGAATTCCGGCCTTCGGGAAGTCGAGATGTTATCTGATATTCCTACAAGCCTCCGTCTACCCAGCGCCGGATTAAGGGGGGGCTATAGCCTCGGGCCCCACTTTCAAGGGGAGCCCCGATCTGAGTCTTCTGTCTATGTCAAAAAGTAATTGAATGAAATGTTTACTGTTGCCTTTTTGAAATAATTAAAAATTTTACTAAATGTAGAAATAAATCGGATCAACGTTGTTAAAATATAACAAAGCATACGTTACAATCAAGAGTTTGTTAGGATGCGTCGACCAACGCTTCTTTGGTTACAATGTAACACACGGAATGAATCACACGCAGGCATACAAATTTTAACTTTTGCTGTTTTCAATGGACTTCTTCAAAAATGTTATGAATACATTGAGATTCTTTTTTTCTGGAAAATAAGTCCAAATAAAAAAAAATTACTTTGCAAAATAATTTTGTTTCGAGGAATAAATGGAACATCACATCAATTCTCGATTGTCAATTGTTTCAAACATCCAATACTATATCAGCTTAGTAAAACAATGCACAAATGGCACGAAGTTCAATTTTTCATTGTTGAATACTTTGCAAGTTAGAATACTGCAAGAATACTAAGAATCTTTATGAAAATGATGAGATATAAATAAAATAAACAATTATTTTTACTTTAACGAAAAGACAAAACTGTGATCAATGATCCCATCTTTCCCTTAAGGTAGTTCCTTTAATCCCGTAATGTAGTCCAAATTATGTCGTGTTTGGACTTATTTTCATCAGGAAAAAAATATTTTACATAACATTTTTGAAAAAGTCGATTAAAAAGAGTAAAAGTTCAAATTTGTATTCATGTGTGATCCATTCTGTGTGCTACACTGTAACCCGAGCGTCGACTGAGGGTTGTAGGGGGTTATATCAGATAACATCTCGACTCGCCAAGGCTCGGGGATTACTGTCGTGGATCCAGTGATCGTAGGGGGCTGGGTGAATACTTTTCAGCTCTATAGAACCGTTTCTGCTGGAGTTGCCACCGTTGCTGGAGTCGCCACCGCTGCTGGTGTCGCCACCACCGCTTGAGTCGGCTCGATGACTTGAGTTTGCTCGAAGCATTTCAGTACTCTTCGTCTCCAACTGGTGCAGTTCAGTTCAGTTGAGTTCAGTGCAGTTCAGTGCTTTTCTCCGTCTCCGACTTGAACGCGCTCAAGCGGCTCGATTACCTATCAGTACTCCTACCCTTCCCGAAAAGGGGATTAGCAGTAGAGAGCGTAGACGACGACAGAAAATACTTGAACGGTGGTAACAAACCATTTTCCACCATTTCCGTAACCATAATGAGCAGTGAGTGAGTTCCAGAGCATACACATCCGAGCTATTACGTTGTTGTCAGTTATTGTATACTACAAGCTTCCTCAGAAGTAAAAGTAAGTGAGATTTCAATTATATTTGAATATTCCATACTATAGATAGAAGTTCTGATCGCAATTCTTAATTTTATTACTATGACTGGGTTAATCATTTGTTATTTTCTTCGATTTTATAGCGGTCGAACCGTGCTATGTGCAAGCGTGCACTTTTACGACTATTACTGCTACTGCATATTCCGTATTATTAAAGTGAGTAGAGTATTTTAAATACATGTGCGAAATGAAGGAAGCAGTATGTGTAAAAATATTACCGTGCATAATTTTCCATTATAATATTTTAGATGGCAGGAAGGCGTTCTTGGGCCTGGGCGTACTTTGTGCTGATTAAGAATGATGGTTATGCAACAAGTCGTGCCGAATGCAACTATTGCAAAAAAAAGTTCGCAATAAATTCAACGACGTCGCTGATACGACATTTGGCGAGGGCGCATCGCATTGAACGGGCTGTTCCTGTTCCCTCGGAGTTTGCATCAGCGGCGTCGGCATCAGTGGCGTCTACATCAGTGGCGTCTACATCAGCGGCGTCGGCATCACTGGCGTCTATATCAGAGTCGTCGGAAACTGAAACGATTCCATGTACTGGTAGGAACAGAATACATTCACATTTATTATTATGATGTAATTTAAATGAAAAATATTAATTTTAATATGGACTAATGTAATCGTTTATTTTCAGATACCGACGACATTCAAAGAGAAATGGATCAGGCACTTGTCGATTTTCTTGTGGAGGATTTGCAACCACTCAGTGTCGTTGACGATAACGGTTTTCGGAATTTATTAAGAAAATTAAATGCGCGGTATAATCTCCCGACTAGGAAGACACTGAAGAAGTGGATAGACGAAAGATACGCCAACAAGAAACTGCAGATAAAGGCTGAGTTAAACGAAGTAAACGATATATGTATTACTACAGACACATGGACAAGTATTAATACTGATTGCTTTTTAACGGTTACGTGCCATTTTATTAATAATGAATTCGTTTTGAAATCGTGTACACTTGAAACAGAAAAAGTGACTGGAAATCATACGGGCATCTACCTATCAAGCGTACTGAATAGAATATTTCACGATTGGGGCATAGAACATAAAGTGAGATTTGTTGTGACTGATAATGCTTCCAATATGCTTTCTGCAGTTAGAAGTTTCGGCAGTGGTGTTACAAGCTTTCCATGCTTCGCTCACACATTAAATTTAGTAGTCAACAAATCGTTGAATGCCATTACAGAACTTGCTACTATTCGTCGAAAATGTCGCAACATTGTATCATATTTTAAATTGAGTTCTTTAGCAAAAAACAAATTAATTGAGTATCAAAATACATATCGCATAGAGAACCACAAATTAATTTTAGAAGACGAAAGTCGTTGGAATTCAACGTATGAAATGTTTCACAGGTTAGTAGAGCAACAACATGCTGTATTAGCAGCAATGTCTTTCTTTACTGAATCTGTTGAACATTTAACAGTTAGTGAATGGGATATGATGGCTACTTGTTTACAAGTACTGAAACCTTTTGCTGTATTCACTGCAGAGTTAAGTTCGGAAGCACATGTCCCAATTTCGAAAGTATATCCGAGTGTACAACAAATGTACAGATGTTTAAATGTACACGACCATGTATTAGCCTCGAAATTACGAGAAATGATGGACATGTATTTGCATGACATTGTAAATAATTCTATTTATTGTATGTATTGCATGTTAGACCCACGGTTTAAACATTTAGGATTTATGTCCACTGAAACTGTAGAAGTTGTAAAAAAATTAATTATCGGTATCATTACAGTTCCAACAGTAAATGACAATTCACAAAGCACTGATGATTTCCTTGAAGGCACCTCAGGCTTTTGGGCTGATTTCAAAAGTATAGTTATTGCACACAATCATTGTAATGCAGACAAATTGGACGGAGTGTCTGAACTCGAAAATTATTTAAGTGAACGGCTTGAAGTTTTAGCAAGTGATCCTCTGAAGTATTGGAAAGTTAATGCTATGAGGTATCCGAGACTTTCAAAATTAGCACAAAAATTCCTGTGTTGTTCTGCAACATCAGTGCCTTGCAAAAGAGTATTTTCCAAAGCGGGAGATATTGTGTCAAAGAACAGAAATAGATTGAAGGATTCTACACTAAACAAAATGTTATTTTTAAACAGTGTATAAGTGGTGTCCTCCAATTTCTTTCTTTCATATTAACAATATTTCTTGCTGAAGAAAATACTCTTTAGAAGTGATGAATGCAATGCACAACTTTTGCTGCCAATTTTGAAAGGTGAAGATATTATCTGACGTTATCATTCCAATACTACAGAGGATTAGTTTTTTCTTCGTCTTTTTTTATCTTTCTATCTTTTTCGTTTTTTCCTTCTACACTTTTGGTGGCCATGAATCCTATCGTGCATAAACAGAATTATTTACAATGGAACTCAGGTATTTGTGTCTGTTTCATTTCGTAGTTAATATATTGTTGATGTTACTGATGTAGGGTCATTCCATTTAAATCAGTTTATTTGTTGAACAGTTATGATTTATTGAAAACACGTCACTATATTTCAAACAGCTGTAAAATCAATAATTCTTAAAATTTTCAAAAATCCTGCGACATACGTTTATATATCACTACAGACTACAACATATCCAAGTGTCAACAAAATCGGAAATGATACTTCAAAAAGTGCCCCATTTCGCGTGGAATGACCCTATATACAGTTGATTTAAACACTGTTCAATTGTTGTGTACAAACAGTACTTCTCGAAATTGTTGTATGTTCCTCCGAATTTAACCCTTGAACTGTGGAGTGCTCGAAAACAAAACGGTGTCTGTTTCCTATCGTGCCGGCTTGTGCAGCGGTGCAAAGGTGACACCTGACACTCCTGACAGCAACTGCCACAATGCACGGTTACTTGTTAATTAATATGAGTAAATTACTAAAATTACGTTTTTTCTTGATTATTTTCTACTATATACGTATGAAATAGTAATTAGCAAATATAAAGAAATAATTTATGCAAGAAATAGGACCTCCAAGCGAGCACTTCATGTAGCACGCCTTTAGGCGCTATTCACAGTTACAGGGTTAAATCGAAAGTTGATAAAAAGTAAGCTTCAGTACTAGTAAACATTATGCGGTGATCATCCCAACACTCAGATATTAAAGGTTTAAAAGACGTCATAAAGTATCACAATGCTGTACGCAGTACTTATTTTTGCTGTAGTGATCTGGGAAACATGTACGAATCCAACGAATGTCTGCTTCGTAAATGAATTTGTGGTTTGTGACGATCGCTCTGCGCATCGTCTTCAGTAATTTATTTTTTGCTGAACAACTTCTTTTACAATGTTTGAATATGCGGCGACATTTTGTGGAATAGTTTTTGTAACGGCTAGGTTTAATATGTGAACGAAACAGAATATATAGTACACCACTGTTTTAATTGCAAGCATATTTGCAGCATTATATAAGAGGATAATCACATGTCTCCTTTACATGTCTCACTCGTGAAATATTATCAACATTATATTAGGTAACGAAGTACTTGATATGACGTCCAATCAGCTTTTCTGATTCAAGCATATAAGTTTTCATCTCGAAATTGTTATTAACGAACTATCACGTCATCGTTAAAATGTTACTCAAACTTTTCGCTCCAAATAACGTATATATGTATATGCCGTTAAAAAATGGACGCTCGCGTACGAAGTAATGTTCGTACTATGTACATGTACTATATTACATTTTTTTTCTTACTTTGGACATAAGACATCCGTACGTCAGCGACCTGTTTCATTCACAACGAGCATATTTTGTGATAAATGCGTCGGAGCGAAAGGGTTAATACTTATCCATGTGCAGTTGTAGTACAAATATCACTTGCTTTAGCGTTTTCCTTCTCCACTACTATTTCTTCACTCACCTTATCAGTCACCTAGTCGGAATATTATACCGTAGTTCTTAGAACGAGAATAATGTTCAATCTGTATATATGCATGTATAAAAGGAGAAGTATTACTTACTTCGTTAATTACAATTGAATTTACAAATTATGTTAAGAAAATAATCTTATTAAATCCCGAAATCTACAAGATTCATACTGAATTTCTTATCTTTGCGTTTTAGATATTAAAATAGTTGTATTATATTTATATACGTCTTAATACTCAATGTATTAATGCACTGCATTGAGACATATGTTATGTATTTTACAATATATTAGTTTACGAATGTTACTGTTATGTACTTTACCATGTTTAATGGTAATTAATGTGTAAATGCATTCATGAGTATATATATATATGGAATACATGCAAAAGTCTATTTATTTATAATGTGTAAATGTATTATAACATCCTTATATCTTTTTTGCAATACCATTCATTTAATAAATCAAATATATGATACCAAACTAATAAAGAAAAATATTAATAGTGTTATATAGAGACAATATTTCTGAATATATATATATATGTTATTACTGTAAAAACATAAATCTAGTCACTAAACTTTCATTAAGAAATTTGTATTTGTTAATTATTGTTTAAGGTTCTTAATTTTTTCCAACTACAATTTTCAACCGAAAAATTGGAGAAAATTCTGTAATAGGTGATCCAGTATTTGCAATGTGTGAGATTTTTTTCACGATTTTTGCGTGTTCCTGAATAGGGAAATGCAGCGAAAACAATTTTTATTCGTACGTTATGTCGCGATGCGAATTGTATGTTATTAAATATAGTCTGATTTATGTCGGGTCTGGACTTATTTTCATCAGGAGAATCTCCTAAATTTATTCATAACATTTTTTAAAAAATACACTGGAAGGAGTAAAAGTTTAAATTTTTATTCATGCGTCATTTATTTTACGTGTTACACTATAGCCCATGGGTCGGTTGCCCCTGCGGTTTATAGGGTATCAGATAACATCTCTGCCCGTCGAGGCTTGGCAGAGCCTCGAGTTTCCGTTGAGCACATAAAGCTGTCATCCGAGTTTGTTCGAACGCTAAAGCTTAGCTGGAATGACCACTGAGCCAATCGATACTTAACTTATAAATATCAGAATTTCGATATTTATAAGATTCGAATATAAAAACGATTGGATATTGCATAAATGCATATTATGCGCAGTCTAGTAATAATTAATTTTTTAGATTTACATTGTCTTTGGAATATATGTAGATTCGTGTCGTCAACATGGAATGATAGGACGTACCTGGTCAAACGAATCGATCGCTCCAACCCCTTTTGATAAATTGTATTATTGGTAAGGGGTTGGAAAGAATCGGTTGCGTCGTTTGATTTAATTATATCGAATAGAGTGGGAGGTGTGGGTATTATTGCGATCGGATTGATATCAAATTCCCGATACCACCCTGTAGCGACCGAGATCCGATGCCAGGAGAAGTCGAAGGGTGGCCTGTGCTACGAGGTGATCCTGGCGGAGCCAACGGTCCCGAAGAGGGCACCGTCCCCACCGCAGACCAACCCGACTCAACAAGTCGCGATCGAAGACAAGCTTCGCGCCGCGGAGGAGAGAAGACTTTCATTGGAGGCCCATAAGCTCGCCGCTCTTGCCGCTAAGCTGAGCAAAATCGAAGAGGCAGCCCGCAAAAAGGACGAGCTAAGCGCTGCTTTCATCGCGGCGACTCGCGAATCATTGGACGCGAAGATGAACAACACCGAGGAGAAACGAGAGGCGCACATCGCGGAACTGAAGAGCAAGCTGAAAGAACACGTCGGTTTGATAATATAATAATAAAAAAAAATCAAATTTTCGTCGAAATTCGTGATATATGTATAATTTAATTTCTGATGTTATTTACAGTTGGAGAGCGTGGAGAAGACTCGTCTGAGTCTCGAACAACAGACCGAGGAGGTTCGTTGCGCCGTTGAAGAGAAACTGAAGACCGCTGCTGCTCAACGCGATGAGAATATCAAGAGGATGCTGGATCGCCTGAAGGAACATGTTAGTAACTAAGTATATATATAATTGCCAGTGTTTAGATTGCCCATATTCTGATATCTGGAACCCCTGTTTTTAGAGAAATGGGAACACTACACTGCTTGGCGTAACTATAAAACAACCATAAAATGTTCAATCCTTATGTATTGTGGTTAATATAAAAGCGAACCACTTTTTTTCTAGGAAACATAATCTGTCCTTTTTTAGAGAAACATTATTTCTCAACATGGTTTCACACATGGCATACTTTTGTTCGTTTTTGTTTGAAACAGAATACATAAGAATTGGAAATTCTAGGGTGGTTTTGTAGTTAACCGTGAGTTTCTATTCAAACGTATGATTACTATTCTTATGCACGGTGAAATTAGTAATTTTAAAAGCACACGTTATTTTTACTAAACGCTTGCTTGTTTTTTAATGTTCCAGGAAGTACAAGCTGCTCGCGTTCGTCAAGCAATGAGCGAGCGTGTGCAGCAACTGGAGAGCCAAATCCAAGGGAAATTGGACCAGGCCCGTGAACGCCGTGAGAACATGGAACAGGAACTGAAGGAGAAACTCCGTAATCATGTAAGTGGAACAGTGTTATCGCATCGGAACTTTAGATTCGATATAAATTAGTTTCTGAGGGTTTTTCTATTGGATTGATTCTTTTTTTGGGGTAGTATCCCGACGGGATATAAATATATGTATTGCTTCTTGTAGTATAATTTTTTTTTTATCATACTTGGTTTTATTGGCCATGTCTAGGAAGAAACGCGGTTAACTGTCGACGTGTACAGTTTTTGGTTTTGTCGAGATGTTGAGTTGGTTTGTTTTATCGTAGAAAATCTCATTTCTCTCGCACAGTATGAACAGATTTACCCGAATAAGGGAATTTGAAATATGGTCGTTTAGAACACGGTGAAGATAGCAAAAGTGCGTCAGATGGCGGATGAGAGCGTCAGAAGAGACCATCTGATGAGAAAGTTCGAATTTTACAAGAGGGTTTCTACTGCGGAGCAGAACCGACAGCGAGAGATTCAACGTCGTGTGCAGGCTATTCACGAGCATGTAATTTCGCCCTCTTTCTGTTGATTCGATTTTCTTATTGTCTCATTCCGTCCCACCCTGCCCCTCATCGACGCTCGCTTCTTATGTTTGTTCGTTTCGCTGAGTTCGTTTCAGTAGGAATCCCGTGAATTTCAGCAGGCTACGATCTGTTAGAGAGATTTCTTTTTATTTTTCGTGGAATGTTACCGGTGCTTCGCCGCATTATGTTGCAGAGAATCTCCCATAGGAATTCAGTTGTACCCTCACGAGAAAACTCAGCTTTCGCTAGGGGAAAAAATGGCGTAGAAAAAGAGCCTCCTACCACTTGGTAAATTTATTTCAAGTGCTGAAATAGATGTTAAACTGAATGTTGATTTGCCATAAATTTCAATAATTCCCGAGACCAAGTGGTAGGAGGCCCTTCCTTTATGCCACTTTTCCCCCTAGCGTAAGCCAAGTTTGCATGCGAGGGTACATTATGTATAGGATGAGAAATTACACCTTTCCATTTCTACATATTCCGTTCAATCTGATGATCAAAATACAAAAATAACCATGTTTCTTAAAACGACCATTTTCTTATAAATATGTCTTGAAGTTACTGATCACCTGATGTAGCACTTCCTTTGCTCGAGTACTCAATGTGGGGGAAGCGTTGAGTAACCTGATTGGAGAAAACTTCAACGTTCTGTTACAAGAAAATGGTTCGTTTGTGATACACTCGTTCCTTTTGATTTTTTGTACTATCTTGATACGTAGAATGTGCAGAAAAGAGGACAAATTACTCACTTTACACACTGTACCATCCATGTTTTATTTTCAGCATGACCCCTGCATTCATCAGCCACGGTATATCCTAGATAGATGTTAGCTTAATATTAGTTCGCATGAAACTATATTTTATATTCTGTTCATAGAATAGTTTACAGTTGGCTCAAAGCTTCACGGTTTGAAATATCCGTTCCATTCTGTTGTTTTAAAGGAAAGGCGCGCCGAATTGGTGAGACAGAACAAGGCGGCACTGTCCGAGCAGTCTGCCCTGCCCGCTGAAAAGGAGACCGCCAGCTCTGGATAAACAGAAGGATCGTACTCGATCGCGATCCTCGTTAATAATATATCTTTTCATCGTTGCGAAATCGAGGAAAGAGGAAAGCGGGTCTTGACCGCAGAGGCTTGCAGTGTCACTCTCGCTGAACACAGGTCATCGGAGTTGCTACGTATTTAAATTTCGGAATAAAAATCCAGAGAGGGGGGAGTCGCGCTCGCTGTGCTTGACGAGGGTCCGTTACGCTTTGTGCCATTTTCGTTCGCTGGATGAAACAAAAATACAAAAAAAGAAAAAACAGATCATTTTCAGAGGGGAACTCGCAAGCGATTTATAGTAGCCAGAGAGATTTGCAATTTTAACGATTATCATTTTGATCACCGGTGGTGTTTTGGGAGGTTGAAACGTTCGATTAGATAAAAAAAAGGGAGAGAAGTGATCCGGGGAAGACGTTCCACCGACGAACTTGTCTTCTCCGATTTCTTTCTCTTTCATTATCTGCCACTTTGTACTCGTGCAACAAAAAATCACTGCCTTCGTCTAACTACACACCCGTTTGTTTTTTATAAGGGAGGGGTGGTATAAAAAGGTGTACACAAATATATTATACACGTACTAGCCTCGATTTAGGACAGGACGTGTGTAATATTATTCTTCAGGTCTAACGTGCCTACCACTTACACGATTGTGGATCTTCTACGAGATGGCATTAAAACGAATAACTTCTCTGTGTTTTGTGATTGATTGTGTATGTTGGACTCACTGATATTTTAAGACTTTTTTTTATAACACGCTTTTTTTTCAGTATATATATATATATTACATTTCTTTTTTACAATGGCTATGGTTTTGTTGTTATCTTAAGTACCCGATCGAGGAATCATTTATATGCAGTTGAATTCGAAAAGAAGGATCATAATAACAATCATTAAATCGAGAGATTAACTTTTTTTTTTCTATATTTATATTACCGTTTACTACGTGTTTATATGCGTTCCAGTTAACTTGAGGGTTTTTTTTATACGTATTACTTAGCTTTGCGGAGTTACGTTCGTTAAATGTTTTTGCTTTCATTCATAGAGTAATAAAAATAGAATACTACCGCTACAATTAGATCTTAAGTGGTAACTGCGACCATATGTTTGTCCACATACCATACGTAAATGAAAACGTACGTGCGTGGTATGTGCCGACATGTAAGCACACTTATAATATATATAATAGTGCTTTATACTAGGCTTGAAAACTTTAAAACCATTTTGTACTCGATCATTGTAATATTACTGCGCTAACTAAACAAGAACATTCACAAGATATGTAGTCTAATTGAATATGATAATATGATGCTTCTGTGATGACTTAATTATTTGTCAAAATGTGTAGTGTTTAAGTGAGAGAGTGTGAGAGAGAAAGAGAGACATATTTGATTCCTCTACGCACGTATGGATACCGTGGCTAGGCGCCTTGATATTTCGTTCGTACTATATATCATCGCTGGAAGTACTTACATCTTTAACGGGATGAGGAAAGAAAGGAATGAAAAATAATTAAGTAACCGTACTGGGGCAAAGTTTTCATCAGGTTCCTTTCTTATAAACGACATAGGCAGCTGGGTAGTTCCTTGGCCTTCTTGAATACTTCGTATCTGTGTATATGTATATTGGGGAATACCATAAATGAGAGGAGGAAACTTTTAGCTCTGGTCACGGTATCGTCACGAGACAAATGGGGCGTATTAGAAAAAGAACAACTTTCCGCAGTGATATTGCAACCGATACCCTACGATTTAGATATCGAGAATAAATATACAGAAAATTTTTACAAAGGGCTATTCGCAGAAGAGTGCAAAAAGTATGGAATTAATTAATCGAAAAGGTGATCGAAAGGGAAATAACATTTCTTACGTCGACGAATACTTGAAACCTATATTGCCGAGTGTTGCGGTGAATTTGCTATGTGTCGTAACGTCGAGAAAAGGAAAGATAGAGAGGGTTCCGTTTTGTTCCTCACGTTTACGACAGGCAACGAATAACATCTATTTTTGCATAATTGTTGCGATCTTTTTGCAAAATGTAATTCGTACGTTTACAATGTACGTATGGTTTCTTGTAAGCTTTGGTATTGTCTTATCGTGAAGCGACAGAAGCAAAATGAACGAGTACGGGAAACTCGTTGGAAAATATATTCGTACGTGCGAGATAACCGCGAGAAACTAATTTCTCGACGATACATTGGCTGCCTTCGATATTCTTTGTTTAACTTTCAGTTTGGATATTCTGTGTTCCGAAAGAGAACATGTTTGTGTGAAGTAAAAGGCCGTACCTACACGCATTTCTGGCAGTACTTCCTTTAATTCCTTCTTCTGTCAATTCCATCCTAAAAAAAATAAGTTGCAAGTAAAACCGTACTAATTCTCATTAAAGTTATAGTTTCACTGTATTCTACGCGTTTGCATATGCAAGAGTCACGGGTTTGACGTTATTATTAAAAAAAAATTATAAACAGTTTTGTACGATTCTCAGTTAAGAACATATAACCACACGTCGGTAAAATAGATTGGTTCGACACTTCACCAGTGCCTCTGTGTGCGTCATAGATGGTCGAGCCCCGTCCAGTGTGAAGAAACAAATAATTACGTATAATAATTTTTTAAAAATGCTTCACACTTCCTATACGAAATTTAGGTGCTTATAATGTTAATCGAAGATATTGCAGTTAGAAAAGTTTGTCGAACAAATTGATTTGGCCAGTTAATTTTAGACCAGACCGGTACAAGCTCAAAAATTGTCTAGATACGGCGTCGCAGTCCACGTGACGTCAAAGGCTGTCGAATGGCCGAAAGCCAAAGGCTAAACGAAACGTCGAGGTTGGCTTTATAGCCGAGTAGGTAGAGGGCAAATGGCTGCCGTGCGGGTGAATAATAATGCGTAGACAGTGCAAGGCGAGTGATAAAAACCGTGATAAAGTGCGTGTACGATGTTACTGAAGGGCCGATTATCGGAGAAGAAGAACCGGAGGCATCATGGGAAAAACACCAAAGCCACGGCCGGTAAGTGGATAGATTGGTACGCCAGGAAATTTTGCGAAATGGTTCGCTTGCTAGTCGACGAGATAGCCCTGCTGCATTCTCGGCCACTCTAATGGTTTTCCATGGTGTCAACACACAACATGGCCGAGCATGTGTAGACTATTACGCTTTTTCAATACAATCCACGCGGTGAACGATCGTAAACACTGTTCTGTATTTCGAAACTGAGTACTCCGATTCGGATGTCGTGTCCTGCCTACGTTAAAATTCACCAAAACCTACTCGGCAACGAGATCAAAGCGGAGCAATGACAAGATAAACACGATTCGGAGTAGCAACAATCATCGTATTTTGTTTATGAGATTAACTCGAAGAATGCGCGATACAGTGATGTCAGGTATCAAGGTTACGTAGAATAATGTGCTGTTTCGGACAAAACATTCTTTTACAATTTACTGGTAAAATACATTTTGGTTTTATACGATAATTCGTTAAATGTGTCATCGCATTCCGCGCGTATTATTGTCAACAGTGAAATGTACATATATGTTACTACGAACATCTAAATAGTGAGGTTATGCTGTATTCAATATGGACGCCCCTTGGGCTAGCATCATATGTGCATTTCATGCACATGATTAGTAAACATGATTCATATTTTTTTCTGATACTTCATAGATATCTGTCGGTTAGTTTGTCAGATATGCATTAACTAAACGCGATAACGAGTCCTCTTGTTTAAATTCAAGTGAAGCCGGAGCATGAGCTAATAGTGGCTGTGCGTGAAACGTGCACGCGATTATCAATGAGTCTGAACTTTATCCCTTCGTGTTTGACAGGCAGTGTTGTTGACGATGGAACATCGCCGATATTGTTTGCCCATGGTTATTTTCTATACGCACCGATAAAACAGCATCCCTTCCAATAACAAAAACTTAGTGCAACATTATCACGTCGGTTTGTCAGACGTCGACATTTACATATTAATTGCGCAGCTTTTTCTCGCGTGGAGATTGGTCTCAATTCAAATTAATTTTTTCGCCGTACAGTTTCATCGACCCTACATTAAACTGAATCACGTGATTGATTCTTTTTAAGCAATCTCAATCCAAAGGGCTATTTAATTATTTCTTGCAGTATCATCGTATCAATTTACTGGACAACCCAGGGCATAGAGTAATCATTCTATAGAAATGCAACCAAATGCAACCAGAGGCAGCGAGCTTATGTACACATCCATATAGCGATATGTCCCGCATGACACACTTAACAATATTTACCGTACTCTCAATATTAAGAAGCCTTTTGCTTTTCAAAATAGTAAAAATAAAATATCAATTATTTTTATTTTTCGTCGGTACAAGGTCTTGAATCTCTGAAGATATTGATCGGACTTGACTAAACGATCTGATTGAATGAAATTACTGGTTAGTAATACCGACCTAATGATTTTTACAGTACTGTCATTTATTAATACTGGTATTACTGATAGTATACTACAGATTAAAGGCGTCGATGGTCGTGCTGAGATCGGAAGCGCGCTTAGCGGTCGCAATTATTACACAATAGGACAAACACGTTTTCGTTCCCCTGGATCATCCTTATTTTTACGCATATCGTTACGCGTGTGATTAACGGACAGCTTTCACTTTTCATCAAAACGTACAATCCACCATGTTCGGGTGCACTTCACCCCGGTAAAAACGTGAAGATCTCTTTGTCCGATCAAATCTAAAGTACCGCAAGCTTAAGTTAGGGATCATAAGCTGAAGAGTTAGCTGACGATCTTGACTCAAGATTCTCTAGATCCTTGAGTGTCTGGCTCAAAGTGGATCCCACAACTCTCTATTGGTACTTTTTCACAGAAGCAAAATTGACATGTTCTAATTGGGGGTGGTAGCTTATGGGCTATACGAAAAAGCAATTCGACCAGTCGGTTTCTGTTTCGTTGTTGCGCGCGTCACACGGAAGGTGCGTGTTAGTGAAACCGTGAAAATGCATTCTTAGCGTGCTACGATAAGAATAGAGCGAGGAAGACAGAGTAAGATAACAAATAGAGGAGAGGTACGTACGAACCGTACACGTAATCGACGGTGCTCACGTATGTGTGTGTGTGTGTGTGTGTGTGTGTGTGTGTGTGTGTGTGTGTGTGTGTGTGTGTGTGTGTGTGTGTGTGTGTGTGTGTGTGTGTGTGTGTGTGTGTGTGTGTGTGTGTGTGTGTGTGTGTGTGTGTGTGTGTGTGTGTGTGTGTACATGTCGCCGCTGTCGTCACGCATACCGATGTTCTGTCGTACGAGAAACACACAGATGCACACACACTAGCTTGCTTTACCACACACATTTATGAACGTACAAGTGCACACACGTTGCCATGACGATAAAGACGCGGATCGATGTTTTTAACCCGACGGATAGTGTTGATTTTGTGTTCGATACCTTGCGATATTTCTGTCTTCCTTCGTATTGCGGTTTTCCGTTCCTTAACGTGCCATATGCCCACGTCCTGATCGATTGAACTTACGGTATGCAGCTTTTATAGGCGAGAGCGGTCGGAAACGTTCGGGAACGATTAACGATCCAGTTCGTAATACATTTTAGACTCCTTGAAAATAGCTCGTTCGCATCGATGGTTTCAAGATCCCGCTCGATTTTGTTCGTCCGCCATTTTGAAACTCGAGGCGCCGCTTATGCGTGGCGGTCCAAAAAATACATCTATACATATTCGAGGTTTTTTCCCGTGAATGCAAATATTTGGGTTTTTTTTTGGCAAAAATCGCAATAAATCACCTTTATATGTTTGGAAATCACCTAAAATTCGTGTAAAAACATAGTGATTAATATGGATGAAAAAGAAGTTACAGATTCAGATTTTGCATGGAAGATACGTACCGTCACGCGCTCGGTTCTTCATCAGAACATAAGTACTGATCAGTTTAATATATAGATACCTTATACATAATAAGTTTATTATAGTAACGGTTTTTTCTAAAAAATTACTAAATAATTATTAACCATTTGCACTTCTTACTTTAAAAGTCAGATTGTAGTTTAATTATTACTATTTCTATACATTGGTTAATACCAAGTTAAAGATAAAACATAGATTTATTCGAGTAACAATAATTTTTTTGGATTTGGTTAATTTCTCTACCTATTCGTAAAAAAAAATGGCGATAGTTGTTATTAAGCGATCAGGAACCAGGAACTGGGTCCATAATGGTATCGGTCCGTGCCAATACTGTTTTTACCGACTGTACTTTTATAAAATGTTTAACAACTCGAATCAATTTTGGTAATTAAACGTATTATCTGGGTTTTTTCATTTTTTCGGTCATTTCAATCTAAATTTATCACGTCGTCCAGTTGCCCCGAAAGTTCTTGCGATAACCGTTTAACGATCGTCTCCAGCATCTAACATACATTCGGTCAGATAATCTTGTCCTTGAAAGTTTCTTAAATTTCTTGCCGATAATTCGGTCCCGATGGGCAATGTGTTGCTCTCCGTTGGAAGTCTCGTTGGTCGGTGATCAACTTCATGGTCTAGTTGTAGTAAAATTTTTCTGAATTCCGAGACGATAGCGTTGCTGTACGATATCTCTCGACACGGAGGAGTTATATAAACTTTGGTCTGTGTAAAGTCTATTCACGGTGCTACCGAATAAACGCTTTACTGGTTTGTTGCGTTACTGGTCCACGCGTAACGTCCGACAGGTATCCTCGAATCGGATAACGGTACACGAGTTGGTCAAATTCACGTGGAACCACTGCCTCGTGGCTGTGAATTTCTTTTTTCTTTTTCGTGTTTACCAAAGACTCCGTGGTGTTAACCACACCGCTCCCGATTGTATTGAATATCGATTTTGTTTTATATGTTTAAATATTTATTTGTTTCCGTATACAAAACGAACAATTTTTCTGTTTTCAGTTTCCCCCTGTAAAATCTAGAAAATTCACATCGATCTATCTCGAACTTGGTCATAAAACATTTTACGTTTCAATTCGGTCCGATCTTTATCGCTGGAATGTTGTGTTCCTTCCTTTATCCCGTTTCTTGTAAACTATTCTACAAAAACAGCCAGCGTGTATACATCGAGATTTCGGTACCTTTTACAAATACACAAAACCCTCACTCTACTTGTTATATGTACCACTGATTATGAAAGTGGTGCAAGCCATGTGTTGTTTCTTTCGAAAATTTGTTCGTAATATCGAAATATAAATCTACGTAACAGAAAATGAAAAGAAAATCAAATCATAATCATCGGCACACATTCGATCAGTATTGTAATCAGTGTATTTTTATACTTACGACAAAACGTAGAATTAGTGGTACAAGATGAATTTTACATGAAATCGGTACAGGAAACAATCGACGATACAAACCGTGGTTCTACGAACTCCGTTAATGCATCGCTGTTGTATAATTGATCGGTAACGAACAGGCCACGCTATTGTAGTAACATCAAACGAACGTTTTAATATCGCTGCACTGTCGTTTGAATAATAATCGTTTTATCGATTTATATTGACGCGAACGGCTCGCGCGTACGTTCTTGTCTGCGCGCGAGCGCGCACACATATCCCACCGATCGGTGTATTCCGTTGTAATTTATGCTTCCAGCAACGCGACAGAGAAGACACAAACATTTTTTCTCGGTGAATTTATGCGACCCTCCGGCGAATTACTTTATCGTTCTTCCGAGATTTCCATATTTCCGGCGGGATCCGCAGCTTAATTCGGGTATTTAGATGCGAATGCACACGCATGTAAATTATCTCGGCGAAAAGTTGTCAAGGACCGTGCGGTGGCATGGAGTTTGCAGTAGTAGTAGTCACTTCGCGTTCCACACCGAAACGGCTGGATTTCGGCTCCTGGGCCTGCGCGATCCAAGAATTTCACGAAGGAATAACGGTCGATGAATCCGGGCGACGGGTGTTAAGCTTGACTCAAGGCCTTTGCAATGTAGCCTCAATCACCGTCAATCTACACTGATCTTAACAATTTATGGCGGAGGAGCCAC